CCAGATTCGTGCAAGTATCGGTGGGTTAATGAATGCAAACGTGCTAAAAAATGCTCAACACAGTATAAAGCGATGTCTCTTACCCGCAGAAGTAAAAGTGTGGCATGCAGCATCTAGAGAACGCAACTGCCACGGGCTGCTGAAGATAGTGGCACAAATCTTAGGCGTCATCACGAATATGCTGTACTCTCTATTTCTCGCTTTGGTATGTGTTTGATATTCTGCAACAACTAACTCGTTCTAAGGTCTGTTATTCCAGTCTTCAGCTCAAATTTTAACGAGGTGTTGCGATCTCCTAGAGCAAATTTTTCCAGCAAAATACGGTATGGCATCCATCTGGTAAAGGGTGCCAGTGGATCCGAAAGACATTGGAACTGGACTTGATTACATTTTGCGGATTTACTGATGTTTCGAAATTGGCGAGCTACCATCAATGATGGCTTGAATTGGCGCCGATCAGTGTTGGAATTTACATTTAATTTTGCTTTTTCGCGTCCATGTTTCCATGCGCAAATACGCAAATTTGCGAAGGGGCTATTCTTGCGGCTATTTTACGTGTTTACGGCTCGCTGAGACACCCAGGTTACACGATCAAAATCGCGTACAATGGTCATTCTTCCGCCATCTCCAGCACCCGCAACACAGTGTCCACCTCGCCCGCAGCAAGGGCAACTACGACATGGAACAAAAGTTCGTCTTGTACCCATTCTAGGGCGTCTAACTGCCGCTTCATGGGCTCTCCAAGCTGTATGTACTGTCCTTATGTACATGGAGCTGCATTTACATTGTGTAAACGCATTTTGCGTGTTTTCAGACGGAAAAACGTAAATGCGATTTGTGATTACGGCGTAACTACCAAGCCTGGAGCAGATAAATGGTCTCTTAAGAAAGTCTATCACGACATAAAGTGAACGGTTTTATGCTTTAAGTTCTTTTGGGGCACAGAAATACTGTTTAAAGAGTCACCACTCACAAATGATGCCCAGTGCAGTGTTTAATTCAAAGGAGTGCGTCAGTGCCTACTGTGTCGAATTTGAGGTACAATGTCACCTTCAGGAAATTCTCCTGAATTTAAATGTTAACTTTACGAAAGTGGGCCCCAGGATAGATACAGCCAGACATGGTTGGTCCTGCGCAAATCACGTGCCGCTTGTGCTGCGGTGTTCTGTGTTCATTCTTTGGGGACGCCAATAATATTTCCAGCAATTGTGACAATACTTACTGCACGAAAATTCACCATGCCATGTTGGAAACTCGTAATAACTCTGTAGCAACTTCCAAATGCCTTCATGTTCTGGAGGAGCCTCTCGCTTGCAGAGTTTCTTGACTGACAGTGAATCTTTTATGCTCCCAGCAAAGAGAAAAGGAATATGATGAGCATAGCTTCGATACTTGGGTTCAACAACGGCTTCATTATGGTGTGAATCGACGTTGCCATGGGTCATGGATTCCAATGACATCACGTACATATCTTATGAAATGCAACTATGCTAAATGCGATATATGGCAAAAAAAACAATACCCGCGTGTTCACGTGTACAAGTGCGGTCTCTTCACAAAACGTATGAACCCAATGTTCAAAGCAAGACGCTTGGAGTTAATGTGAAGCATGAGGATTGATTTCAAACCTTTTGAAAAGAATTCCTAACAAACGGAAAAATGCGTGCAAAACTTCTGGTGCAGCTCTCAATCCATAGTGCATGGCCAGGAAACCCCCGTTTTGCTGCAGCTGGAGTAAAATTATTCGCGAATGCTATTAGCATATGCTGTTAAACATGAACACTAGAAATGACAAATTTGACGTATATTACATGTAGACGATGATAGAGTCACGATTTAGATGCAATACTATGTGGGTGCTTTTTGGTGCATCTGATAACGTTGTGACTTCCTGGAAATTACAGGACTGATCTAATGTGCGGAAACCCACCACACGATATTGAAATCAGATCGGTGTGTGCCGCTATTACGCCATGGATAATCTGCTGGTGCTTGGATATTTGTAATGTATTATAAATTGAACTTCTGACGTTGGTAATTGTGCTCATGCGATTGTTTGATCCACGGTGATGCTCACGAATCAATTTCAGATGTTACGATAACCGAATCGAAGGAATGCCTGTGCGATGCCACCCCATAGTATTCTAATTCTTGCACATTTCAAGTCAAAATGTCGCATTCTTATTTGGTTGTCTTTTGGATCATTCTTCAACAGTCTTAGCGATCTTGGTGTACCTGCTAGTGCAACTTCATATTGTACGTATCCTTGGGTTTGTATTTTTATCCGTTGCCTACCCACAACATTCAATGCACGTATCCAGTATTCAAATCAATGCATCGGCAGTTGATCTTCAAAGCAGTGAATTGCGAATATTCAACATTTAATTCTTTATTTTTTATTGGCGAATGCGGGAATTGCAAGCACAATCATCCAAAAACAAGTGCAAGAGGCCACATCCAATCAAACATGGAATCCTTGATTTGAAATACATATCCTACGGTCACAACAGCCTCACTGTGCTCATAATATGAAATTCATAGTACTGTCGAACGGATCTGAGTGACGGAGCAAGGGTAACATAATTGAATCAAAACTGAGCTGAAGATCACTTATGTGCCTTATCTTTTACAGGTACTACTACTATTGCAGCAGACCCCAGCATCTGGAGCCGATGCGAGCTGATGTAGCAATAATGTAGTAGCACAAGCTTTGGGAGTATTCGGCACTGCCAAAATCCCGTGGTGGAGCGTAAAATGCATGTTTGTGTGCTTTGGGCATTCGCTTCCTGTTGCGGCGGCAAACATCGGCCGCTCCAATGCAGAATCATCGCAAAGGCAGGCAACGCAAAGGAACTGGGGTGGGTGGGCGGGGTTCCGAAAGGTGCAAGATTAGGAGGAATGGGTGTGGGTGCAAAAAGAATGGTGTGAAATCTTTCAGGGGCGGATCCGAAAGAGGGCAGGAGTAGTGTCTCTGAGGGGATCGCTGTGTCTCCTCGGGATACCGGAGGCAGCCTCTGTACTGCTTGCATTACTTCGAGCATTGATTTGGGAGCTCCATCATGCACCGTGGTGGCTCGTGCTGTGGGACCGCCCCAGCACAGATTTGAGATGTGGGGCATACATTGCAGGACAGCGCACGGAGGTTATCTCTCCTTCGCGTGAGAGAACGGGAGTCGTACCCCCATGGTCAAGCCGCTGGTGCATTATTTGGGAGAAGAGTGAAGCGCACGTTTGGTCGCAGTTCCCAAAGCTGATGAAACGTTCCTGCGTTGTGGGCTCCGTCTCTCAGGAACAGGGATCTCCGTGTGTAAATGATTGAAAGAGGATGCAGACCGCGAACCGCCGGATTCGTTGGACTCTTGTCGGTCCATGTCTCAACGGATCGTACTGAAATCACACGCACTCCACACACCCCATATCAGCGATTTCCCGAAGAACGAAGCGCATGATTTCTTGTCCTGCATTGATTCCAATACAGCGGTGGTAGCCTTCCTCAATTCAGATGGAACGAAAGTTGAATGCATGAGCCACAGAAGCAATGTAGCAACCATGGCAGTTTGGGGTTGCGCGTACACGTTTCACAAGATCGATAAGACTTGTGCATGGTCCCGGGCGCAGACATGTGTGGTGGCAAAAGCGTGGCCTAACCCAGCAGAACGAGTTGAGAAATTAAGATTCGTATGAGTAGGTTTATCCCCTGGTACTGTAGATTGAACACAGGGATGTTTTCCTCGGGGAGAATGCAGCATTCGAGAAGCAGCTTCAAACGCAGGAAAGCTTGAGTTTCTGCGCTGCAAGAAAAACGAGACTGTGGCGAAATTATGCAGCCCTGTTGCCTCGAATGGCGGGATCTCAGTTTGATTCGAACTTGATTGTTACGTTTACATTATTACGCGCAAAAATGATAAATAGAAAAACGGCCATTCTGACGGCCATTTTTACGCATATTTTAGGCTCGTCAACACACCCGGGTTACATGATGATGCCCCCAGAAACGATCAGTACTCCGCTCCCTCGAGCACCCTCAACAGAACGTGCACCTTGCCCTTGGCAAGGGCAAAGACGTCATCGAGCAAAAGGTCATTGTCCGCCCACTCCAGGGCGTCTGGCTGCCCCTCCTCGGGCTCCCTGAGTCTGTATATACTGTCTTTATGTACACAGGGCCCATTATTGCGCGTTTCTATGCCAATTTACGTGTCAAAGCGTAGTACTAATTTTGTGCGTAAATAGGCACAAACATGCAAGTATTTATGCTGCAAGTAACAAGCCTGCTCCCCACTGTCTGTTGCGACTGTGTTCATCATGTATCCTCAATCCACGTGGTTCAATATATCTTTTTGTATCTTTTCAACCTTTTGAACCTCTTTTCAAGAGATGTCACTACTTTTGGCATTGTTTGAAGAACGAGAATGTTTGGGCCATGGCCAGTTTGGGCGCTTCCTGGCAGCCGCAGCAGCTTTGCTTCATGAAATCCACCACAAGTCCAGTCAACATTCGAAAAACATAAATGTACTATTTTCCTGTTGGCATTCTGTCAACCCATATTGTCAACCTGCTCTTTGCGCAACAGTTGTGATTAGCAGTTATTGTGCCCAAACCTTCAAGAGACCATGGCAGTCTTTTGGGAAATGGCCAAAGACGCTGGCGGCGAAGTGGCGGGAAGCACCATTAGCCCCCAACTGACGTCTGCGCATGAAGGCCCACAAGTCCGCCCCCTCATTCGCGCAAAATCGCACAAATTGCATATTTCTTGCACCCGCCTCTCCCTATTCCTGAACAGGACATCGCTGAAGCAGTCAGGTTGGGCACTTGCCTCCGCCCCGTTTCACTGACACGCCACTGCTGCCGCGCCCGCTGCCCTCCGACTCAAGACGCAGCAGCCCCCGGGCCGCGACCCCACAGCCCCTCTACGGACCTCAGTCCGCCTCGCTGCCATCCCCGGCCCCCTCCCCTTGCCTCGGACCCCAAGATCCCGCGCGCAAGCTGCCGGCGCGGCCGAGATGGCGGAGCTGGCGACGCTGCGCACGGCCAGGGTCGCCCTGGACGAGGGCCTGATCAGCGAGAAGGACTTCGAGGTGGTGAAGGCGGGCTTCGTCAAGGCCCAGCAGATCAAGGCGGGCCTGGATGCCGGCTTCATCAAGGAGGAGGATTTCACCCACGTCAAGGACACGTTCTTCCGATCCCTGGACATCCAGGTTCCGGAACGCGGGCAGAGCGGCGCGGGGGCCGGCCCGGCCGCTGCTCCCGCCAGGCCGGCGATGCAGAGGCGCGGCAGCGGCGGCGGTGGATTGGCGAGCCAGGCAAATCCTCCCAAACCGGCGCCCATGGGAGCTTCGGGTGGCGCGACGGTCGCGGCGAAGGCCAATCCGGCCTCTGGCAAGGCCGCGCCTCCCCCGCCGCCGCCCGCCGCGCCCGCCAAGCCCGCGCCCCTGGTCAGATCCAACTCGCTGACGGAGTCGAAGGGGAGCGTGACGGCCGGAAAGGTGAGCCAGGCGACTCGGTGGCCCGTGTCCTGAATGGTTTGGGAAGTCGTGGTGGGCCTTTGTTGTTGGTGGTGGTGGCGATAGTGGCAGTGATGGTGGGGATGGAGACGTTGGCATGGCGTCTCGGGGGAGGCGCAAGCGGCGCCAGCATTTGCCGTTGTTTTGATGGAGGATTGGATCCGTATCAGGCAATGTGTGGGAGTTTGACGCTGCCAGGTGCTGGATCCGCGCTGCCAGTTGCAGATTTGGATATGGTGTTCATTTCCTTTCCGGCACACGGGGAAGAGATCGAGAGGCTGGGTGACGGACTTGCGTGGCTTCTAATTCTGGGCTTGGACGAGTGATCGCGTGTGCCCACTCTGTGACAAAGAAAGTGAGCAGTCTCGTTCTTGACGACTGTTCTGACGCCTGTCTGGTCATGGCTGGCGTGGTCCATGAACAGGTTTCGATGAGCGGCATCGCTGTTGAAGACAGTGCGGTGCAGGAATACAAACTGATGAAGGGCAGAAAAACGGTGAGAGCACAAGCATCCAGGCCTGCGTCTGCCCATCATGTCTAGCTGGTGCAGCAACCAAGCTGCCGAAAAGGTCCACCGGAAGATCTGGAAACTGCGCATTTCTGCCAACCAGCACCTTCTACATGCATTTGGCCAAGACTTGTCTAAAAAAATTGTGTTCTGTGTGGCACAGTATTCCTGGATGACATTCAAGATCAACGCCGAGGGAACTGCTGTGAGTGGGCAGTGCATTTCAGCCAAATTGCAGGCACAGATTCGAGACCATACTTGCGGCTGTCCATGCCCCCGTTTGGCAGGGGTTAAAGAAAATGCCTGCATTGGGGTGGAGCTGAATGGTATCCTTTCGCAAATGTGCAAATGCAAACAGCACCTCAATCGCATGCTTGCTCTATGTTGTCGGCCATCAGATGAAATATTGCCTTCTGGACACAGGTCGTCTTGGGGGATACAGGAGGCTCAGGGTCGACGTTTGAAGAGTTTGCTGCATATCTTCCAGAGAATGAATGCAGATATGCAGGTGGGAATGCTGCATGGTTGCCAGCACAGAACTCTTGGGATCAGGGTTTGCCATGTTCATGTTGCCCTGTTTTGAAATGAAGCCATATCAGTATATGCATGCACCGCACTGTGGATGGCCATAGTGCTGGGTCAATGGCAAGTATTTTGTAAGACAGAATGACACCAGTGCAAGCACATTTTACCTACATGTTTAGCGAGAACTACCAAGAGCCTTTTGCTCAATGCAAAACCCGCAGTTTGTACGGGTTCTTGCACATTTGCCAGGAATACTGCATTGATAATTCTTCTTTGCGCCCTCAGTATTTGACTACCATTATGAAGCAAACGAAAATCGCTCTTTTGACAAGCTGGTGTTCATTAACTGGTGAGTGGCCTCGGCAACAACATTGGCTCATGTGGGCAACGTTTGCAAAGATGTGCTGCCTTCCTTGGGGTTTTGTGCTGTGGTTCTGGGGGCAGCTGCAACGATGAAGCACATGACAAGACAACAGCACTGCTGTTATGGGAGTGTGTCTTTTTGAGTGGAGTTCTGCTACTTTATTGCAGTGGTTATGGTTAGAGACTTGCCTGCACTGGTATACTTCCTTTGTTGCAAAAAGACTGTTCAGTTTACAGTTCTTGCTATTATTGTTTTAAGATCTACGCAATGACTCAATTCGTCACCAAATTTGCATTTGCTGGTTGTTTTGAGGCTGATGCGTGTCTTGTTGCGTTAGTAATCGCCATGCGTTACGGCATTCACAGCCTTGTGAAAATGTCCTTGTTCACTTCCACACTTGTCCTCAATTCCCCACATCGTTGTGTTGGCCTTACCTCGGTATGTCCCAACCCATCTCCCATATTTATGAAGAACTTTACGTATACAGCAGAAAGGCAAGTGCCCACTGTTAATGCTGCTACACTACATCCTTTCAAAAGTTTTGGCGTCACAACCATCACACTCTTTGTAGACCATCTCTTCCGCTGCACTGAATCATACTTCCAAAATTCTTGTTTTCAACGATTGACCATGTTTGCCTCAATTCGGGCCGTCGTTTTGGTTGGTATCAGTACGCACAGGCTTCCAAACCTTGGCACGCTTGCCAGGTAGATGACTCTGCACTGTTCGGGGTGTCTCTTGGCCTTCGGCCACGACCTTTGCGCAATCTTGTTGGCACCCCGAATTCTGACATCATGTCAACTCCGATCCTAACATACTACTCCGCTTGCGGATTACGCCCCTTATGGATTCTGTTTGGAATCGAGGGGCTTCTTCAGGGCATGCCCAACCACCAGGGCATGTCTCTCTGTATTGCAGCTCGACTGGACCCACATCTATTGAAGGGCAAGACAGGCTTTGCCCTGCCTGACCCAATTCCCGACAATGAACAGCGGCTCGTTTCAGCTTCTGTTGATATATGCAACAACGGTGGTGTTGCTTGCTACGTTGATGGCTCTGCAGAAACGTCTCAACATGGCACTTAACGGCTTTTCTGGTCAAGTTTTCTGACTCGTGCGTTTTGATCTCTGTTCGCATGATTCCGATGTCCAGACTTCCGCTATGGAGGTAGAACACATCCTTAACGCGTCTGATTTTGGAGCTCGCAGTGCTTTGCATTGTTGTCCCCGTCAAGACAATGACAACTGCATAGGCCAATACGTGCATGCAGTGAAACGACAACGATATATACTTTATGGTTGGGCAGCTGAGCCGAGTGCTGCACGCCGAACCTTCCATCCTTTTGTCTGCTAGGCCCATGGTTGTAGCTGGTTGTTGCTTGGCTTTTGGCGCAAATGCGTGACCATGGATGCGCGTTGAGCCTAAGGACTGAGAAAAGAAGTCCCCTGCCGAACAGGGCCCCCAACAATTCCACCGTGAAGCAAAAGATGATGATGGCTTCGACCAAAGATTTCTTCAAGGGGTTTCTAGAGGGCATTCAGATTGAAATGCAGGCTGCCTGCCCAGAAGACATCACAGAAGATGAGGTCAACGACGCTGTGAAGTCCAGTCTGACAAGAAAGTGACGCGTTCTGCGCATCCTGCTGGATGTCCGCTACCACGAGGGGAACATTTCACTTCAGAGCGGCCGTGCAGTGAGTGGCCGAGGAGCAGTGGGAGTCCTGTGAGAGAGTTGGATGCCATGGGCACATGCTGTGGTGCTGGGACTATGACTTGAATGAAGGGGGCACCAGATGCATGGAGAGAACGCCGTGTGGGGCATGGCGATCTAGAATTCATGACAATTCTTTTGGGCCAGTCGTTCTGAGTACAGTGGACATTCATTATTTTGTTATTTTCTCTTTTGCTTTTTGTTTCTTCTGGAGTGGGGTGGGGTTGTGGGGGATGGGGGGTGGGGAGGCAGGGGGTGGGGTGGGGTGGGGTGGGGTGGGGGGCGGAGTAGGCCTTACCCATCATCAGGGGTACGAGCGGCCGAGGAAGCTTGGCAAGCTGGCGCACTGGGGTGTAGGTTGTCGCCCCGAGCAAATGTGAGAGTGGAAACGCGATGCGTGGAGCAGTCTCGCTGGCTGAAACACATTGTGTTTGATTGGCCCTTGGTCCAGTGTAAAAAATGAACATTTCGTACACAATCGTTCCAACTGCGGCTCACAGTAGATCACCAACTGATGCATATAGTGACGGTACATGCAGTTTGTGCGTCCAGTGGACACTGCCCTCTAAAAATTCTCTGCATGGACTCTCAGTTTCCTGCTTATTGCCATTGTACACCGGACTGCCTCAGGCCGCTGTGCTCGTGCGCAGTGCTCATCGCGCACGCAAGTTTCGCCCTTCTTGCATCCCAGAGGCTTCCCGCGACAATGATGTCGATTGCGCCAATCTCGGACACAGTCAGCCCGAAAATTTTACAGAGTTTGCATGCGTTGGTTCATCGTGAGCAAGGGGTCTGGTGGGTAGATTTCTGAGTCCGCATACATTTTTGTTGCGGCCAACTTTGCACGAAGATACACGAAGGCTGCCTGCTACCGTGTCACGTCCCTGCCCATGCTGGAAACCGTGCGATCTCTGCTTGGCGTTAAGCCACCAGCGCATGAAAACGTGAAGATCGAGAGGAGAAAAATTGATTCTGGTTCTCGGTGAGCAGAACTCAGGAATGCGAAGTGAGAAAGTTGGGAAAGTAGAGGGTCAGGGGCAACAGAAGTATCTATCCTGTGCACTCAATGTGTTCGCCAAACGTGGCCATTTCTCAGAGTGATCATCAACGGGGAAATTCTGGGAGATGTCAATGTGGAATTGGCGCAGCGTATGAGGATCGGCTGGACTGGCAAACGCTTGCCAATCCCGGGCCCTATCAGCGTCATTCACCCATGAATGTGCATCATATGGCAGCGTCTGGAGCATTGACCAGCATGCAACTGCATCCGCTCGGGCTTGTGTAACCTGCATGGCCGCGTTCGTATGCTACAGTGATACCCCCACACAGGTACTGTGACTCGTGCGACATGCATGGTTACGTTTGAGTGTTCTGTGCCCGCTGCCACTTGCTGAGTTGTGCATTGGCTGGAGGGTGTCTTATTCAAGTTTTCAGGGCAATGTTTCCTCGCAGACGGGGCTGTGAATAGAAAATAGGACAACATGGGCAATGTCGCTGGATGGTGTTCTCTTGTCCCAGGATCTGCCCTTGCTGTGTACATAGTGAGGGATAGACCTGGGTTTCATCCCTGTCGTGGACACTGTGTCCAACTGGACTGAAACGGCCACTGCAACTGTTTTACTGCACAGCTGACAATTAATAGTGCATATCCCTCACCGAGAAGCCCCTACTTCTCTCTCTTTGCGACCTGTTCTCGGGTCAGAAAAATGGGGATGTTTTGTTCTGCGTGTGTTCATGACAGTCAGTTGTAGTACATGCACATGTTTGGCAAGATAATGGATCAACAACTGAATTCCTTGTCCATAGTCCTCATCCAGTGTATGAGCCAGCCTAGGAAAGACAATCAAGGCCACATAGAGCCCTCTGAGGTGGAAAACCCTCCTTCAAAGCGCATAAGGACAGAGTGCCAGTCCACCCGCCCACCAGCCCAGTCAAGGTTGAACTGCAAGAAAGAGCTCAAGAAGTTCAGTGACGACCCTTGACTACGAATTGGGCTTGGCAGCTGCGAAAGAATTGGAAAGACCTGTCGGAAGAAGTCATCGATAACTGATTTGTGTGGAACGCACTCACTCCAAGGGAGAAACTGGACATTACAGTATATTCTGACGACGTGATGGTACCATTGAGCAGTGTTCAAATTCATGGAAACAATACCAAGGACTGCTTAGGCGTGTTCGTTAACACTAATCAACTATTCCGACTTTGAAAAGCAGTTGGGGGATGCACTGCTGACACGAATCTGCGTCAACCTGTGTGCATATTGTCCAATACTAACAGCGAGAGTTGCGAGACTTATCCTAAGAGTGTGCAAGCTGTGCTGGCGTGCGTTGTGCTCATTAACGCGCGGTGAATCCCTCCAGCTGGCCAGTTTGGCTCGAGAGGTTGCCCGGGTAAAGGGCCGATTGAGCTTTCTGTGGAATTCTGAGAGAAGCCGGCGTGCTCAACATCAAAGGGAGCAGCGCCACGTCACTGAACAAATGCACTCGGCTACTGGAGTGAAGGGTGGACCTGTTTGTGGTCCTAGTCAATTCCAACTAGTGTGTACTTTTCTTGCTTGGATTTCAGTGGGTTGCATTGTTTCCTTAGGATCTCTGTGCCTTGGGATCTGGGTGGGACATGTCCTGTAACCCACACTGGGTGTCAGACCGTGGCTCGTCAGGCCGACTGGGCAGCCACACGATGATGTTTGAGCACTTGTAGTGAGCTGCCTCGCCCATCTCTGGATCCGTTTTGCGAATGACTTGAATTTGTGACATCTCCGAAAAGCAACGACCATCCGAAAGTCCAGCGTGCTCCAACGCAATTCCTCGAATGCTTTCCTGCAGAGTAGAATGCTTGCAGGCGGGGATACCCTGCCTGGAAACAGGTTTATCGATGCTTCGTTCGACAAATACCTGGCGCAAAGAAGCACGACACAGGGAGCCTGACGATCGCGTTCCTTCCTGCCCTTCGATTGAGCTCCGAGCCATACACCGCATGAGGACTCAGCTTGCCCCGGAAAGCTCGTTGTTGTGTCATTGTTGTAACTAGTATTAACAGGTGAATGCATTAAGGGGTGGTGAACTGCATTCGGGACCTTGATGAACGGATTGGATATTAGGGACAGAACTGTCTGTTGCCCCTTTGCTCGGCTGTGTATTGTCGCCGTGGTCTCGAGCCCACGGTCTCCGTCCAGGGGTGGCCAACCCTCGACGCTGCCTGCCCTCGTCAGCATCACCACATCCCCAACAGACCTCACCCTGTCCAAAAAACCGCGGAAGGGCGCCAATGTGCCCCAATCCCCCACCCCCAATGTTGGGGGTTGTCCGCGGCACCCAACCGGCACAGCAAGTTCGCCGCACCAGGAGTGAGGACCCCGTCCTCCGTCCCCACACGGCCTTCACCGCCGCGGTCCGGCTGGCGGTGAGGACACTACCCGCGTCAGCCGCAGCCGACGCCCTCTGACCAGCCAGAACGGAGCAAGAACAGAATACTCCGCGTTCCCGGAGTTCATCCAGCGTCAATTTGGGAAGCGCAACGGGAGGTCGTTCAGGAGCGCCCAAGCGCGGCCTCGGATAGCCAGGCGAATCGACCCCACAGCCCCGCGTTGCCGTTCCCTTGTCTCAGATCATCGGGTGCCGGGCGGCCGCGGAGAGCTGCGCCTGAAAATGGATGGCGATGATTTCAGCCGGTCGGCGGAGGCCACGGGCGCATCGGGAATGGGCGGCGCCGTGGAGGCCGAGGACGTCCGGCAGTTCCTGGCCCTGACGCGATCCCTGGACGAGGGGCAGGCGCGGTTCTGCCTGGAGGCGTGCGGCGGCAACCTGGAGAGGGCGGTGGACATGTACCTGTCAGGTGGGGGGATCAAGTGCGGGGGGCGTTGGGGCGCGAGTGGGCGGGGGAGATTGGGGTTGGAGGGATGCTGACTTGGGCATGCGGACAGCAACCGTGCGCAGGGGCGGCCATCTGCGTTCGGGGACGGATTCCTTGCGGGGATTGAGGTGGGGTGGGGGGCATATCGGGTGCATGCTGTGAATGGGGCCGGACCACGGTGGGCGTGCATCAATCTTGCTGAAGGCGCGCAGGGAGCGGTGCAGTGTGTTTGCTGGTAGGCAAACGCGCACGTGGGGGACCAGGCGTCCGCAGATCCTGCGGGTTCCCATTGCCGTGGAAGCTTCCCCTCACCTGAGCGCCGGAAATCTTGTCGCGCGGCAGATGCCGAAGGGGATTGTATTCTTAACCCACGCCTGTTTGAGAGGCTTGCTGTGGCCCCCCACAGATGTTGCTGGTCATGGGGCCGTCCAGGGCTCTTCAGGTCCGCCCTCTGATCCGAGCGCGGAGCAATCCAGCAGCAGCGGGATGAACGTCAGGAACGGCGGTGATCGGGGCTTCCTTGTCGGTTTCCTGGGCGGGCTGCTGCGGCTTCCATTCACCATCTTGAGCAAGACGTTGGGTCTTGTGCAGTCAGTGGTGATGTATGCTGTCTACATTCCCTGGCCGCAGTTGCGAGGTGGGTTTTGTGTGGTGATCGTTCAGCTGATGTTGACAGTGCACTTGTTGGATGTTTTGGGACACTGTGGAAGTGGCTGTATGGTCAAAAGATTGTCAGCCAGCGAAACGAATGCGCTGTAGGCAGGGGTGCCGAAATATGAATGTGTCACGAAGGGATGTCTTCAACAGGTTGTTAGAAGTTTGGAGCATGGAACCTGCTGCATTTGTCTGTGAGTTCTCCAAGCTATTTGATTGATCTGTGCGAGACACAGAGTAAACTGCCTGTTGGTCTCGTCCTGAACTGTTGGTGTTTTCTTGGATAATGGGGCGCGCAGAAGTGGAGGGACCAAGCGTGCCCACATGCCATGAGGCTGCGTTGATACAATGCCAAGCTAGGGAGTCTATGATTCGAGATCACATCACTGCATGCAGCGTGTATGGAAAATACATAAAAGTCATTGTAGTTGCCCAGTTTGTTGTCTACATCACATCAAGCACAGGACGCAATGTCGATTGTGCAAGGCATGAATGATTTTATGGCAACTGCTCGCCAATGCCTGAGATGCCATTTGCACTCCATGTCTATTTTTGTTCTGAGCAGATGACTACGAACGGAGCCATGCAGAAGAGAATTCTGAGCTCCAAGCACGGCAGTTCATTGATAGGTTTGAGTTCCATTATGGAGCTCAGCATCCACCCTTTGTTGATAAGAGCTGGAGAGAAGCGGCTGCACGAGCTCATCGAGAGTTTAAATTCCTTTGGGTGTATGTGCACTCCCCAGAGCATGAGGTGTGCTTACTTGATTCTTGTCCACTGTGACTTGTGCTATCCAGGGCCAGTCCCTAGCGCGATTACCTGAGAAGCTCTCTGTGGCTACACTGGCCACAAGTGTCGCTCACGTTTAGGCAAACAGGTGTTTCCAGGCTATCCATTATCACACCAACTGTGGCTGCTGCCAGGCTTACAGCATCCTGACTACTCCCTCTTGCCTGAATAGGTGTTTTATGTATTCCCAGGTGTGGGGGCTTCTCAGGTTAGGCAGGCAGTCTCTCGTATTCGTGACTTGAAATCGATTCTTCAGTTGCTGTAGCCAATGGCCGCTGATGTTTGCAAGACGAGCTTGAATTCTGCTCTCATGTTGCTCATAACGCAACCGCTCTCTTGAGCACTTGTATTCTTAAATATTTGTGATATGTTCTTTTGGAAAATACAACTCTGTTGCGAGACTGCTGCAGTGTGGAATAGACAACCGGTCACTGCACCTGAGTATTGACACAAGAAGATGTCGTATGAGCAAGCCGTGACTGTGGCTGCCCGGCTCACAGCCCCTGCACGTCATCACTGTTGCATGCTTTGCTGTTGATGCATTTGATGATCTAAGGCAATTTGCTGTGCTGCAACCAGGCTACAGACAGTTTCTGCCGTGAGGTGCTGTGTGCTCCAGAAGTGGTTGCCTTTCTGTCAGCGAACTTTGTCTGTTGGGGCGGGGATATCAGGCAGAGTGAGGCCTTCAGGGTGAGGAGTGGTCCTTGTAAGGCAGCCGATGTCACACACAGCTGTTTGTCACACATAGCCCATTGTCCACATTGTCAATTGTTTTTAACCCTTCCAGATGAACGCCTTTCAGCACCTGTGGACTTTGAGTCAATTGCCATGCATTTGTCTGTTCTGGGCTTGTGTGGGAACTTCAGAGCACCAGGATGGATGGTGGTTGTTGCTTGGTGGTTATCCAGATATGGCCCCCTGCTAGTGATGGGCAAAGGATTTGCTATGTGTACTGGTTCAAAACTACGTTTTATGGACTATGTGTGTGTGTGTGTTCTCGCAGCTTGCAGCATCGCTGGGCACCACCACCTACCCCTTCCAAAGCCTGCTGGCGTTTTCGGGCTCACGCACACAGCCTGTGAGCTCCATGCAGGGGTATCTATCACCACGGGAGATGCTTGATGCAATACAGCAGGCCCTTGATGAGCAGGGAGCCTTGCTTGTGGCTGAGAGGGTTGACAGAGAGAGAATGGTAAGGCAACGCACAGACAATGCTTCGTACAGTACCACACCCGTCGCCCGCGTAGTTGTATGCGAGTGTTATGTGCGAGCAGATCACACCTCAGCAAGCTGTCGAAAGTGTAGGATGGTTTCCTGTTGTTTACTGGCTACTTCCTCTTGGCATGTGTGGAAGAAAAGGGCAGTCACATGACAGGTTCTGCAGCAACAGTGATTGAGGGTACAGATATGCATGCCCTTCATCTTAGGTAGCTGTTTCAACCAGCAAGAGTCAATTGCCTTGTGCCTCACATGGGCCAGTTGCTGCCCATTTGGCTGGCAGCGGCCGCATACCTGCTCATTGAGCTTTATGAGTGCGAACAGGACTATGACAGGCAGCTGCGCCAGGAGCAGGACCTGGAATATGAGCGTTCCCTTGAGAAGGACAAGAGACTTGAGGCACAGAGAAAGAAAATTCAAGCCGAAGAGGCAGCCAGGAAGCAGGCAGAGAGGGAAGAAGAAGACAGAAAGCGGTGCGCTTCAGTTGGCCATTGTGATGAAATCCTGTCCTTGCTTGGTACTGTCCTCATGTGAGGAGTTGGGCACACCACCTTACTGCCCATTTGTGAGACTGTCACAGTGAGGAAGGCAACCTGCAAGATGGGACCAGTGCAATTGGGGAACCGCCCTGGCTCAGAACTGCCCTATACGTTTTCTGGTTTGGAGATGTTATTGTTTGTGGGAGTTTTAATCACTGAAGATACTGTCACGATGCCATCAGGAGAGAGATCGAGGCTGAGGACCGAAAGGCAGAGCAGATGGTGGCTGCCATAGAGGGTCGAAAGCAGCAGAAGCAGCGCTCCCTGAAAGAAGAGCCTGCTGCTGGGGACGAAGTCGCACAGATACGCATTCGTATGTTGGATGGGAGCAACCATCTGAGGAGGTTCCGCTACAGCGACAAGGTGGGCTGTTCTGCTTTCCTCACTGGTTTGGCGATGGAATTGACGGCAGTGACTGTGTCCCCAGGACGTGATATAGGGGTTGGACAGAAGGACAGCATATGTGCTGTTGGATGTGCTGTTGCGTGTGCATTCTGGGCAGGAAACATGTCGCACAGAGAAAGGTGGCCTGATTTGAGCTGAAAGGCTCTTTAACATCTGTTTTGCTGCACTTCAAGAAGTTTGATATTGATGTGGTAAACTGTACTCTCAGCCCTGAATAGAACCACAGTAATGCGCATTGGAATCTGTTGAGAAGATGTTTGTTGTTTTGTGGCGACGACACCCAGGGGTACGGCATCCCACTGTGCCCATTTTGTTGTGTTTTGGTTGCTGTGCGTTGTGCTGCTGCCATCCTGTTCACTCCACGCCTCATGCGGTGTTGTGTTTGCTCAGGTGCAAGACATCTTCGATTACGTGGATTCTCTCGAGAACCTGGGAGTCTTGAGCTACAGCCTGGTCCAAATGTTCCCGAGGAAGGCGTTTGACGACGACGGTCGGGATCAGACTCTCGTTGAGGCTGGTCTTGTACCGGACAGCTCGCTGCTGGTCAAGTCGAATGACGAGTAGTGTGATATGTTCCCCGTCGGACTGGGTTTGGTGGTGCTCAGACTTGTGGCGCTACCGGCAGTCTTACATCCCTTTGGGCGTGGTTCTGACCTGGCCTCGGTTGCCAGCGTCCACTGGGATTGTTGTGGGACTCCTGGTGTGCGAACGTCAACTGTGATATACCTTGGCGCCGGCGAAGCATTGCTTACATTACACGACGCCTTTTTGCAGTACGGACGGTGCACTGTGCATGCTGTGCAGCACTATGCATATGCTGACGATGCACTGTGCTGAGGTATGTTTTACACTTTTCCACACTGCCACGACAGTACGGCACGACTGTGCTGGAAGCCATGGTGATTCACTTTGGGCTGGCTGCTCCCTTGGCCCTCCTTCCTGTGTATTTGAGTGTGTGGGTACACAAATGCTGCACTGCGGCTGACAATTCACGAATGCCGAATGGTCGCGATGTTCCCGCACCTTGCAGCTCGTCGGAATGCGTCTCTCACACGAGCCACATGATGGGCACATCAACTGCATCTCGAGACACAATGTTCTCCACCATCCCTTTCTCATGCAAGAGCCCATGACCGTGCTTTGCGGCTGGCCAACTCTTCGCGACTTCGTGAGCCAGGATACTCCACTACTCCCTTGCCTCAATTCTTCAGAATGCAATCTAACACCAACAGAGCTGGGTGGGACGGAGCCAACAAGGGCAGCCGCGGGGTGTCCTTGAGTAATGGAGCTGACCACCGACCTCGCTGTGAAATCTGCCAAGTCTACAGCCTTGATGGACGTCCGTGGCTGTCATTGATTGTGTGTCCGTAGTGAACTCGTAATCTGCTCAAGTGTCGAACGTGACTTCCGTGACAATGGGCCCGAAGGTGTCATGAGGGCAACCACCAGAAACAAAGGCAGCGAGCTTCACCACAAGGATTTTGCCTGGCGCATTGACACCGCCCGCCCCTACCTTTACCAAAATTTATCGCCTCAGTGCTTGACAGACCCTAAATCCGTTCATACGTGGGTCTTGCCTATGTAGACGTGCAACCTCTGAGAAACTCGTGCAGGCGCTGTTCGCTATGTTCTACCTACATAGTATGTTGGAGACATCGAAATCGGAAACCACGTGGAAAATCGCATCGCAGAGCAGCACGCCATTGTATTGTGGGACTGTGGTTGAGCACACCGAAATACCCGGCCATATGCTTGCCAGACTTAGGGGCACGGTTTTCAGCACGGCTGGCGTGGATTGGTCGAGCAGCGTCGATGCATTCCCTCTCACAATGCTTTGCTGCATATTCACCTGGCGCGTGGACCCCATGCAATCCGCTAACGTGACAGACCAATGCTCAGTACTGCAGCCGTCTGTGTCCCTACAAACGCATGGTCGCGTTGGGCGGGTGTGTTTGTAAATCCTCCACACTGTGCAGTGGCAACGTCCCCAGAAAACCCTTGGGCCTCAACTGTGGATGACCCAATGCCCTTAAGGTAATGGGCCATTCATCCAAGCCGCTATTGGCCCTCGGGAGCACAGTCAATGAGCAGCATGCACGTGAGTGCACTCGCATCGACATGAGGCACGTGTCTTCACTAAATTTCCTGTGTCCCATTCCTCATAACATGACAAAGTGAGTCCCTTGCACCTTCCACGCTACGACGAACATACACGTTGTTGCCTCACAACGCCCAACATTTATGCAAGCCACTGTAAGCATGTGTGTTGGTGCTTGTGTAGCTTAGGTTTACATCAGTGCAGATGACTGCTGCTTTGGGATGCTCCAAGCATGCCACCAGGGAAGATGTACAAACAGCAACGCTGAAATGCATTCACATTATATTTGTTGCCCATATGTGTGGAATGCAACGGATCTCTAAAATTCGCATTAAAAGATACACCAACTCCACAAAGCAAGGAAAGAACAACATGAACAACATGAAGCCAAGGAATTGAGGGGATTCCAGTTACACAATCCAAATTTGGGGCAGTGCTCCCAAAAGATTCGGAGCCATATGTTCATTGTGCAATTTGGCAGCTGCGGGCACACGTGATTATGGAGCGGATTGTTGTGGAACACTTGTGAGTATTCCTTCCGGGGCGCATGTGGTTGCCAGCGGCTCGAGTGCTATCCATTGGGGTGTGGCGGGAGAGTAATTCGAACGATGATGACACAACCCCAGTCAGCAGGGGCTGGTGCAGCGCAACAACCCACCCTACACCTGACATCGCAGGCTGGCGGAACTCCCAGGGAGCGCTCACTTTGCCGCCTGAGAAAGACTGCACTGGGACATATGGACTGTGGAACGCGACATTGAGGACCAGCAGTCTGCAGCCGAAGAAGCCGCTTTTGAGCATTGAGCCTTTTTTTGCGGCCGTCCTGTCGCCCCTGTCTCTGGCGAAGGTCGGTTGGATTGGGGACGCGCTGGCGCGGCAGGGCCAACCGAATGCTGCGGTCTCTCCGAGGATTGTTTAGGGCACTGAGGGACTTCGGGAAGCCGGTACGGTTGGCAAGAAATGGGCCACCTTTGCCGTTGTGCTGTGGGGCATGCTGAAATTGAATCAATGAATGCTCAACGTCAGCAGTTTGAACAGCAAGCCGAGCAAGGCACCCCGAAAGCTGTTTGAAAACTGAGCCGTGGTGGTGTGGACAACCTTGAACCGAAAATGGGAGGCCATTCTCTCGGATGTTGCTGACTTCGAACAAATTCTCGCTACAGAAAGGAATCGCAGACTTGCCTTCATACCACTGCAAGAACAGAAAGGAGAGCAAAAGTGCAGTTGTCTTGTGAGAATGGTCTGCCAATATACCAGTTTACCAGATTCAAATATGAATGTCTTCAGATGGACAGACAAGCACTGAATCGACAACATCTGGCAACAATACTGGAAGACCAGCCAGCATTATGTATTGTGTGGGAGGCATGTGGGATGACTGCTCCTGTTCATTGTGCTGAAAGGAACTGGAAGAACTCGAGAAGCATGCTTTGGAGCTCAAGCAGCAGCTGCAAGATGTGCGGACACCCAGATATGACACTCTGCCTGCAGGCCTTGCGTGGGATGGGTGGGTGGGAGGGAGGGAACAGCTACAGTGCTTGAATTTGGCCCAACAGTCAGCTGGTTTCTGCTATGTTGACCTGGACATGGGTTCTCAGTCTGCAGTTCAAAGCTGGCACTGGTCACACATTGGTGCCATGAGCTCATTTCCATGCCATTTCATTCCATTCCATCCAAGCACATTCCATGTGCTGCTCATGGACCATCGTTTTGCAGTGGTAGACTAAATCGAGTCGTTGCCAATGTACACATCGAGGCAATGCTCGTGGGAGGTATCTTTCTGCTCACTGCTGATTTTGGGAGGCATCTCTGTCCACAGTCTTCCAAAGAGGAGTGCTGTCTCTCACCCGCTTTCTCGCTGATGGCCAGCTTCATGCCTTACAGCTGAAGGAGTTCAAACGTGCCCGTGAAGAATGGTCTGAGAATGCAACAAAGCAGCTCATCAGGGGAGCGCTGGAGGCGCACAGGGCCATCGAAGCCAAGAGAGAGCTCCGAGAGATGCAGGTACATGAATCTCCCAGACTGGCACATGTGTGTGCCTGCTCACCCCCATCAGGTTTCTTCCGGCCAGTTTTGTGGCCACAACCATGCTTCCGAATCATCACAGTGTGCTTGTGTACATCGCACAACTTGTACATCGCCAGCTTGCCTTGTTACGTCGCGACAAGTATGTTGTTCAATGGAATTGGGCCCACACTACGATCTGGCACTTCAAGGGCGAGCTGCTGTGCAAGAGTAGAATCTCCTGCCTATGTAATCCAGCCATCCAAGATGGCTGCATATGAAATTCTGCAAACCCTGGCCATTTGTCTGTGAGTATTCTCGATTCGTGGTTCTGTTGTTTGTAACTGCCAGAGTGGTGCACAACATGAAGAAACCGTTTTGCAAGAGACTGCACAAGTGACTGACTTGACCAGAGATTGCCTGACGTTGGTGTGCCCTTTTGTCAGATGCGTGAGGTGTTCAGCAAACTTGAGAGCGAGGTGACTGAGGAGATCGTGCACAAGGCGTCACAGCTGACTGCTGAGGAAATGGAGGTATTGACAACTGTCAGGGACGAAGTCAATGGTGATACAATCCCAGCTTGATGACACAAAGACGTAGGACAATGCCAAAAGACTTGCCCTGCAGCCCTCAGAAATGTTGTATCTCTATGTTGGGCTTATATCCTCTTCCATTAGTGAATCCGCTGTGCAAAAGAAATCTAGGGGGTAAGGCAACGCTGTCCTGCCAGTTTGCAGTGCGAGCAAACTTGCAATGTCTTGCATTCGATTATTGTCATTTTGACAGAGTTGAAACACATCATGCAATCCACTCATCTACCCACGCACACCTTCCAGTCCCCAACAGAAGTTGTGAAGAGAGCCGTTTGGATTCGGTTCAAGTGATTTTGGCTTTTGATTTCCTCACCCAACTGACGCTTAAGGTACTTGAAAGAGACGTGGCTCAACCAATAGTGACACTTTGACCCAGCGCTCGCTTTGCTGCCAGGGCCTACTGTGGTGTTCTTGATGCAATAGTTTACTTCCCATTGCTGGATGTCTGCAGAAACTATTGAAGGAAGCGCTCAGTCCTGCATCCCTGGATAGGAAGATTGATGAGGCTCTGAGCGCCACCAAGAATGAAGCGTGTGAGTCGAAGGTGTCAGTACCATCGCCAGACCCAGATGCGGCAAACAGCAAGGCGGCACCAGACATACCAACGGGGGGCAGCTGAAGAAATGCACCAAATTCTGGTTGATCGTGTCCCAAAGGTTCTATGTACAAGCTTAAACCCTCGGCAAATGGTAGGTTTGCCTATTGCTCAAGGCATGCTGCCCGCTGTATATCCCCACGTAATGCAATATGTACGATTGGTCAGATTCGTTTGCCAGAAGGGCTCTAAGCCTTACAAGAGGGGCAAAGATGATGCCACTGTGCCCCTTTCGGCACCCCCGAGGATGGGGGCAGTTGGAAAATTCGAGGCACTTTGGTTTGCAGCTTTGCACGATGTGAACCCACGCTAGTGCATATTGGCGACTCATATCAGCACACACAAGGAATGGAACATGGCCACCTACAATCTCTTGCTGACTACTTTTGGGGCTCATACGAGTTGGAGGGCTCTGAGAACTAGTATTGCATGCGTTTGGTTCCCAATTCCTATGTTCACGTATGCAACAGATGATCCCAGTTGTTGTGCATAGTCTTCACTTGCGCACCATCGTCACAGCAGGCACCCAACCCGTGGGCAGTGCCCCCCCCCCCTCACCACAGCCCTCCTCCCACCTCCCCAGATGATCACTTCTCCTGAGTCATGACCACCCTTGCAACCTTGTTCTCCAAAAATCCCACTTCCACAATAGGAATAGACAAGAAAATCATTCCTCAAGTTTGAAACGGCTGCCCGCCACTTCGACTCCACACTAGCCGAAGCAGGCTCGGTCAAAGGTGACCTTCTTTCCAGATACCCCTCCTGATGCATCGATCTTCAACTTTGGGCAGATTGTCTGTCACCACCACGGCTGGCGCCTTGACGTTTAAGTGGGACACAAGGTGGAAGCTAGTGAGAAGCGCAAACCTCTTCTGCATGAGTACCACATTACGCAACTGTTGTGCACTTTCCATGATTTCCCCAAAGCACCAGGTGTTTGGTGCAGCAAGGCCACAATCTTTGGCAAAACTGATGGGGATTGTTCTTCACACTGCTTCCCCTTTCTGAACAAGTATGATACGTGAGCAATTCTCAACACTCAAAGTGCTGGGAACTTGATCTACAGATTTTCCCGCTGTATGCTTTGCGTTCATTCAAAACTCGTCACTGTTACGGTGCCCCTAAGCGTTATTCTATCGTGCACCCCAAAGCAGCAGTTTGTGACCTTTCCAGCCTGGAACATGTCGGATTTTCAAAGGGACACGTGTCGCGCCTCCAGATCCACCCCTTCCTCTGCCAAATCCCCTGCCGTCCCTTTACCCGTGGCCACCTCCCCGACCACCAAATCGTCCACTGCTGTCATTGCCACCTCTGCCTCGTGCACCAGCACCTGAAGGTGCCATGGGGTCATCGATCTTGAGGTAGCCGCCCACCGCCTTGGTTCCATTTAATTCCAAGGCAGTATTCTGAAGATACACAGTCACAAATCCATCAGTGATGGTCCATCAGCCATAACATCCCTCAGCACAGTAACGGTGGTTGTATGCCCTGCGCTCCACTGTACGATTAGTGCTTCGCACTGCCGAACTACGGGACACTGGTGATATGGAAGTTGCTGCACGTGTTTAGCATGTCTTGCCAAACCGCTGCCAGGACCTGGTGATTTTGACACAAGAGCGCATCCTCTCCCTCGCAGATTCGGGACAAAACGGCAATAGGCGCCGCGGATTCGAATCTGTAGCTTCGTATCATTTTGAACCAGGCACAGAAGCCACGAACCCCTTGGGGGCAGCACACTTGTTTTGCCTTCAGGGCTTCAATCCTCAAGGTAAAGCTGCTCAGGTAAAATCTCTGCTGTAGCACAATGCACTGTCTCCTGACTTGGACCTTAGGATATAGTGAGGCGCCACATTTTCAGATTCATCCTCTGTATGGAAGTGTGCACTTGTGACCCACTCGCGACTAACAGCTCACGCTTCTACATTCAGACTTCTAGAAAAATACCTGGATGTGCTATTAACTCTCTTGCCTTTTGTTCTGTTTAGATTCGTGGCATACACAGAAACTTTGGAGATTCCTTTCACTGCTGTGCCTTCCCTTCAAGAAACCAGCCCAGTGTCCAGCGCATGCTCTCTACACAAATTCACAAACATGAACTGCAAAAGACGGTGCTGCACACTGCAACAAGCATGCCCCCATGCAAGCAACGTACCTTCCCATCCTGTAAGGCAAACACAACAAAGCCAATACCCCTGAGCTCTTGTGTTTCATAATCCTTTGGTGTTCTTATTTCCTGCATATTGCCACAATCTGCAAACAAATCACGCAGCTGATCCTTGACAGTGTCTCCACCAAGGCTGCCATCAAAGCCCTTCATGGACACTGTTGTGCTGTCTGCTCGATCTGTTCCACAACAGCAATTGGCTTAGAATGACTGAGCTGTGAGCAAGACAAGGGCCATGAGGCACTGGCTGAATAGTTTCATGCCAAATTCCTCCTGCTAGTGGGCTGCCTGCTGGTGCTAACTCAGAAGGGAAATGAGCACATGCCAATGCAATAGCCAGTGAGCAATTTGGGGATAGCACCACAGGGCACTAAAAATGTACTCTGGGCATTGTGCACCTTGCACATCCGTATACTCACATACTGTGGCCCATACAGCATGGCAGGATTCCATACTCATGCGGTCCTGAATTGAAGCGCCGGTGTCTAGAAGCAATGCTGTTGTGCTCCACAACACCATGTGGAGGAGCCTAGCTGCTCTCAGCAAAGCACAGGTAACTTTGCAACCTTCCGACCAAAGCGCTGACAGTTATGAAAACAGGTGCACAGCACCAGCCCACCATAGCTGCACTGGCCTCCATCACTGGGGTGCGTCCCCCCTACCTGTTGTAGCTGTCGCACAGCAGTCGTTTGTCACGGTTCACCATAAATTCCCTCCCCACAAGCTGCTACCCGTTCATCTCCACCGCCTTGGCAGACGCCTCTGGAGTCAAAAAGTGCACTTTGCAGCCCCTGCTCCTTCCGTCCTCTCCCTTCACCGCATCACAAACAAGCTGAAGGTCAGTTCGCAAGGTAATTGACAAGCGCTCTGCCGCAATTCTAGTGTTTGTGATGCTTCATCATTGCCTAGTGCAAGGACCCTGAATCTTGATATTTTCGCCAAATGCAATCAAACGATTCACAACATAAAGGCGTGTACTGCAGCCCCACAGGGATTTCAGCATGGCACACCAACTCGTCCAAGGGGCACTGCTCAAGGTGGATTGTGCAGCGAGAATCAATAACATCCAGCGGTGGACGAAGGAAAGTCTGGAGGGCATCGCCAGCAACAGCACAAGTCCAAATACAGACCTGTACATATTGAAATGCAGCACAAACACAATTGGCGGACAGTTGCAAAGCCACGAATGCTGGACAGTCTAACCAAAGGGCACTGCACGTGCAGCATGGAGCAAGGCGGGATGCAGTGAACAATCACAACGTAGCGATCTGACAACCACATTATGCTGTCCGTAGCTGCAGAAGCCAGGTTTCGGTTTTCCTGATGTGGAAATACTAAAACCACAGATACAAAGACACGCAACGCATTGTCCTTCATGCACTGTCCTTCAGCCATATGCATTTACAAGGCTGGCAGCCAAAGCCGTCAGCTGCTTACTCACGCCAGAATCTGAAACGTGCAAATGAGGCACGTCAATTTGCAGCAAGGTGCACAGCACAGGGCCTTGAGAGGATCTCACCAATATACACTTCGCGAATTTCTCCACAGCCACTTAAAAGCTGACTGACGTCATCCTCCTCTGCCGCAAGAGGCAGGTTCTTCAAGAAAACGGTAAGGGAAATGTGAAGGAAGTGTGTAAGGGAAGTGTAAGGGAAGCATCGCCATTTTGCCATTTTCGTTCAGCTTCTGTCGCTTCTGTGGTGGAGCACTCTGGTACAACAACAACCACACACAAAACGTCAACACAACAGTGTTGTTGGCAGCCATGGGAGAACAGCAGGAACAATCCGACAAGTGAAATCCCGCGTGGGTGCTTTTGTTCAAACAACTACAAGCACTGCTACTGCGGCATCTTCAGGCGATGTCCCCACACTACAGGTGTTTCGTTCACACTGGTATTCACAATATTCCTTCACCATCCGGCAAGTGAAGCAGCCCAGCGATGGCCTTGGGGGGAGAGGGGGGGGGCGCTGGCCCAACAAGACTGGCAAAAGATAGACAATCGCTTTGGCCCGCTGTCCACAATGAACCCAACTTATCAACCCAAGCCGCTGTATACTGAGAACACCAAGAGATAGTGATGTAGCAGTATACATAAGCATGCAAGATACTGATGCACTTCTGGCTGGTGACGGAATAGACACGAAACATATCTCAAGGAAGCAGCTCCAGCCACTGCCCTCAACAGAGTCAGATACTATGTGTACCGTGCATATTGAGGCCAGTGCCTTCCACACACTCATTCCACCCCCAGGTATTTGCAGTTTCGGGCAGGTGCTTACCTTGTCATCATCAGGTCCTGCTTCTTTGTGCTTGGCAGAAGGAATTGCGTACTTTGGCGCACCATCTTCTTTGTCAGAATCAGTGGAACTATTATCCTCATCAGAATTTTCCTCCTCAGATGACGACTCCTCCAAACTACGCTGCATCGCCACATCTGTGCCCAACTTTCCAGCGGCAACCTTCCCATTGGCTGCTGCAGGGCATCCTCCTCTTTTTCGCTGCTCTCCTCTGATGACGACTCCTCTGATCTAACCTGCATCGCCACATCTGTGGCCATCTGTTACCAGCCTTGCCATTGGCTACCGCAGGCGCATCCTCCTTTTCCTCGCTGCTCCCCTCAGATGACGACTTATCTGAACTATCCTGGGCCGCCACAGTTGTGGTGGCCATCTTTCCATTGGCGGCCTTCCCATTGGCTGCCGCAAGGTCGTCTTCCTTTTTGTCGCTGCTCTCCTCAGACGACGACTCATCCGAAGTATCCTGGGCCGCCACGTTTGCGCAAATCTTTCCATCGACGACCTTCCCGTTGGCCGCAGGGATGTCTTCCTCGTCGTCGCTGCTCTCCCCTAGCGACGACTCCGAGCTCACATCCTCATCAGAATCTCCCTCCTCAGATGATGACTCATCCGAGCTATCTTGCCGAAATAATATTACTGCCTGCACCAAATCGGTGACTGCTTGCACCAAGTCACGTGCACACTTTGTCCTAACCTCAGCTTTAGGGTTAGGTTTAGTTCAGGGTGAGTTTTAGGGTTAGGGTTAGGGTTAGGACAGGTTTAGGTTTAGGTTTTAGGGTTTAGGTTTTAGGTTAGGTCAGTTTTGACGGAGTTGGACATGATGTGCACGTGACTTGGTGCAAGCAGTCACCGTTTTCGTGCAAGCAGTCACCGATTTGATGCAGGGAGTAATTTTATGCCTATCTTGCCCCACCACCTTGGTGGCCGCCTTGCCATTGGCGGCCTTCCCATTGGCCGCCGGGGGACGTCCTCCTCTTCGTCGCTAACCTCCTCGGAAGACTCGTCTTCCTCGCTCTCAGACACCTGCTTCGGGGCGGCCTTGGCGTGCCTCGCCGACATCCCGGGAATCTGCGCGGCCGCGGGCAGGTACTCGTCCTCGTCGCTGGTGTCCTCTGACGAATCCTCCTCCGACGACTCTGACTCCCATCCCGCACCTGTCACTTTCGGCGGCGCGCTCTTTGCCGCTGCCGCCTTGCCGTTGGCATTCGCTGCGGGCTTCGCGTCCTCCTCCTCACCGCTCTCTTCCTCGCGCTGCGCATGTGGACACACGCGTATTGCGGCAAACGGGCTGCACAGCGGATAAGCAAACGCGCGCCGTGCGGCAGCTAGTCCCAACGCGCGCTCCGCACCACCGCGAATTCGCTGCGCAAAAGCCCGCCCTCGCTGTTACCCACCTCGCTGCTCTCCGACGAGTCGTCCTCGGAAGGCTCGGGGGCGGCCGCCTGCCGGCGAATGCAACCACCAGATCACAGACGACCCGCTTCGCAAGCTCGCAGACAAAGCGAGCGTCGCCGCTGCGCAGTCCCACCTTTCTGTTTTGGACCGCCTCCTCCTCGCTCGACGTGTCTTCCGAAGACTCCACCGGCACTGTGACCTGCGCTGGCAATCCCCATTTCAGCGTTTCACGGCCAGCAGTCCGCAATTTCACCGGCGGCAAGAGACAAATTCGGTCCACTGAAAGCGCAGACTTCCTACGGAGTGCGGCCGCCCAACAGCGTCCATCTCGCGACGCACTTTTCGCCTTTCTCCTTGGCAACCTTCTTGCTAACGACGCCGGCACTGGCCTTGATGACGGCGGGGGATTTGCTGAAGCCATGAAGTTTTGTCTTTGGTCATCCGGGTCATTTTGCACCTGCCCGGCGCGAGGGCGCGCCCGTCGGCGGCAGTGCGACGCTGAGATGGTCAAGTGGTCCTCGTTGCGGACGGCGACGCCAGCGAAACGCCGGAAGGTTGGGACAGCGGGTGCCCAACCACGGAAGCGAGCAATGCACTGTGGAAAGTGGCGCTCGTTTATTACTATGGTGGCGATTGTTGGGTGATTGTTTTGCCCCCGGTGGTGGTAGTGGTGGTGGTGGTGCACAAGGCGAACAATGCGCGGAGCCATTCTCAATGTGACTGCAAGCTTTGGGGTCTGCTTTATGTTGTGGACGGGAGAACGTATGCAACCACAGTTGCGCAGAGCATGCCTCGGACAACATGCCTGCAAGTCGAGTGATTGGGGTTTGGTTTCCCTCGCCGAGATTCGCTTGCAAGCAATGGCAATCAGAACGCCATGCAGCCGGTAATTGCACCAACATGGCATTTGATCACTCGATGACCCAGCGAGACTCACCCTGGCCCAAAGTTGACCAGCAGAGTGTAGCACAGTTCAGGGGAGCTCGCATTTCATACGCGGTGATCTTCATATGCTTTCAGTGCATGCTATCTCTTTACAACTGACATCCCCTGGCAATAGTTTTCGTTGTCCCCACACCACCCACTGTACACTCCATCATCAGAAATATCAACGGATGCCAACATTGGCGTTGACATGAGTCTCACAAAGCTAGAAACGACAACCGAAGCTCGAACCAAAAGTACCACTGATGCACAGTACGGAGCACCTGTACATGAGTGCATGCTAATGGCTGGCCGGCCACCTGATACCCATTGCAAGAGCCAGAAATTGTATATAATGGTTTATCCCCAGGTCTTCCTTGTTGCTGCTCATCCCTTGCAGCAGGATAGCACCTACAACATCGAATATCTGACCTTGTCGCCACGAAGCCTCACAGCCAGGTGAAGATCCTTGGCCCTAGAATTGCCCAGGTGAAGTAGTGAGTCCCAGCATAACTCCAAGTACAGGAAGTCGCAGGGAATGACAAGCATGTACGAGTTGACAACACTACACTGTTGGGCCTCCCTGCAAGTCAATGGACTTCTCCATCATGATGCCATGCCAGGTGTGAGTGGCAGAGCAGAAAGTGCAAAGCACTTCAAAGCACTCTGTTTCAAGAGCACATGTCTCACACGAAATGTCCAATGCACCATGACCAATGCATCACAAACTCTCGTCCATAAAGATAGCAATGCAGAGAGGGGCACCGTCTTGTTCAAACGATGGCACTGCCCCAATCCAGGGGATGGGCTTCAAGGCTGTAGACAAACAGATGGTACCATGACATGGAGACATTTCACCCTCCAATTGGGACAATAGGAACCACAAAATACAACACTGATAATCCCACTGCATCCAGATGGATATGCCCCTGCAAAGCGCACCCTGCATCAAGGCAAGAAACGGACATACGATTTTCGTGGATCAAGGGACCCCACATCACCACTGCAAATAATGTATCTGGTTGGACCACTTCTTACATACTCTAAATTAGCAACATAAGGAACATGGATCTACACATCAATCAATCAACGTCAATGACACTCACATAATGGTCACACGCTTCGCATGAATGCTGCACAGGTTGGTGTCCTCAAACAAACCAACCTGAAGGCATGCAGCAAGCATTCTTTCAGGCAGTGCAGACAAAATGGCATCGGACAATCAACTCAAAAACACCTGGTGCCAGACTGCCTGGAGGACATTGCAATCTGTGAGTTTTGAATCGTCATACTACCTCTGTTAAAGTCTTGTCCATCATCTAAAATCGTGCAAACTGAGGTCAAAATGTGCGAGTCAGAAAATTTGACCAGAACAACTTTGAAGCGCCATAACAAGAGCTATCTGTAGAGCCCTTTAGCGTGGAAAACGGGGCTGCCATTCTTGGGATATGTTAAGAAGAGCACATGCGCCACTCTTCCTTGTGTCAGGACCTAGAGTGAGGCATCGCAAGCTGGTCTTGCCCTTCAGCGGAGGTGGATTGAGCTGAGCTACACCTAGGAGAGATGTGTGACTTGGTGGTTGGGTAATCACAAAAGATGCAGCCAGAAACAGAATCCACGATGCAAAGATTGTGATTTTGCCAGAGTTTAGTGCGTTGACAAGTAGTATGCGAATGTTGAGGCTAAAGGCCAAGAAACACCTTGTTCTGTGCAAGAGCATCAACCTGGTAGATGGACAAAGGTCTGGAAAACAGTGCATGGTGATGCTAGTCAAAAAGATGGCTGAAATTGTTGCAAACATGGCCAATAATTGAAATCGAGAATTTTCGAAACGTGATTAGCATAGTGGAAGAGATGGTCCACATAGAGTATGAAATCAATGATGCCAAAACTCTTGAAAGGGTTTAGCGACGCTCATTCGTTGTCTACAACAAGGTTCTTAAGAATTTGGGGGAAACCGGTTCGAACACAATGGGATAAGGTAGGCACAAAAATGCAGGGAATTCAGGCCCTGACACAAGCAGACAAGGACACTTTTGATAAGGTTGTGCATGTCTTGCTAGATGGTGATGACTAATATAAGCAAGATCCACATCAACCCAAAATCGACCAAGGAATCCAAATCTGACAACAGATTAGCTAATTGAGTTGATCTCACAAAGTGATGAAATGGAGGTAGTACGTTGAGACCAAACAGGAACCACGGTCGTTCAAACTTGGTTCGCACATCAGTGAGGTAGAATGTAAGTGCTGTCAAGCCGATAAGGTTTGCATTTCACATCCAAATACGTGTGCCAACACTGCACATGGTCTTGGCGAAGTGCTTTTCACAAGCCACACTCTGAGTTGAAATAGGTGCTACTTCCTTAGCAACAACACCAGAACCAGGGTTGAAGAGTTGATACATGACATTTTTTCGACCATGATGACTTCAATACTGGCATGACTGTTTCATGCTGATGTTCACTGCCACTGTTGTCTCGCAATTGTCCAAGCAGCTCAACCACAACCACAACGACAGCTGCCATTCACTCATACTCAGCCAAACTGATGTTCTTTAAATCCCAATGCAGTGACACAATATGCAGTCATGTGTTGCACATGTGGCTCATCAGTGCACCAACAAGTATATTCTGTGGAGGAGCTTCCCATTTCCCAACATTTGTCAGCCCTACACCCCAATCAACCAAGAAAGTTGCAAATTGTTTAAGAGCGGGAGCCATTGCTAAGACACATGTGTCTTCCATCAACACCATGATCATTCTGCCACACAACAATAAAAAAGCAACAGATGCTGCAGCAAGGATAGGTGCATGGCCACATGGGCGCTGCCCAATAAGCTCCAGGGTGGGTAGCATATTCGTTCTTGTGGTGCAATGCACAGAGGCATAGGTAGTGCAATGCCAGAAGCATCAATAAAGATGACCAAAGAAAAACAACAAGCACACCAAAGAATCTCACCAGGTATGCCTCGCTGGCTTCTTGAAGGGCCAATATTGTATCTTGCTTGAACCGCAATTTGTCATCAATTGCGTAGGCAATTTCCCTCACAAGGCGCTGGAATGGCGCCCTTTTTATGAGCAGATCCGTGCTCTTTTGGTAGGCACGAATTTCCCTGGATTCATGCCACAAGTGCTCAGCTCCCACCAAATGCCAAAAATCCCTTTCAAAACTCAACAAATCCATAACAAACCATCAATCATGTACCACCCCACACAACACGATTCTGCCAACTAGCCCATTTTGCGTTGGGCCAACAGGAATAAGAGCTGCGCTGGCACCGGCCTGTGCCCCATGAGAGCTCACTTCAATGCCACAACCCCAGGCCTCTTCCTGCGCATCTTGTGCGGTGGAGCTGTAAACGCCCTTTTCCTCGCAGCAGGGCGATTTCTTGCAGGCGAGCCGAAGTCCTTCGCCTGCTCCCTTCTCCCTCGGAGTTTTCTTGGGACGTGCAGCCTCTTGATGGGGGCTTTCCCGCCTGTTGATTTCCGTGCAGTCTGTTTGGTGCGGGCCATCGTTCTGCACTCTCTTGCCAGAAATTCACCACCTGTGCTGACACAGCAGCAGCCCCTCTCAGCTCAGCCATGCTGACAGCACTCTGTTGCTGAGAGCATGTGGTTGAGGTGGTGACAGCGTTCATCGGGACCCGAAGCAAAGTCCCTTGCCCAAGCACCCCCTTCCCCCAGCGGCACTGCTGCGCAAAACACCTCGTAGGCACTTGCAGGTCAAGGACCTGCGCATTCTGCCTTCGAATATCAGTTTCCCAGGATGCGCAAGCTGAAGCTCACTCCACTCCACAGCACGTGACGTGCCTCAGGCACCCACCAGCACAATTCCAAGCCCAAAACTCCTCCTCGGCGCTAGCGCCCACGCACTAGATTCGGGCCTGCAGATCACCAGTGGCTCCCCGATCCAGCACGCTCTCAGTTTCGAATCAAACACCGGTCCCTAGCCCAAAGACCTCCGCGCGCATCACTGCGGTCGCACACGGCTTTCGGGCTGGACCAGCCCAACGTCGCTGTCCAGCGATGCAGACACCCCGCAATTCGCCGCACAACCCTTTGCTGCCAGGCGCACGTTGCGCGGACGAACAAAGGCCCGAAATTCAGTTCGAGTCCAGTCCAGAATCGGCACAGGCCAACGTGGACAACCGCGGTCACTCAGCGGAGTTCCCGAGTAGGGAACACGTGACGGTAACCCACGCCTGTCGCTGCATGCCGAAAGCCACTGCATGGGCGTGCAAAGATGGGCGCGAACCAGACAACGGCCGGCGAGCCCGGCGACAGCGTCGAGCACCAGCAGCAGCCCGCATCAACAACGTGTGCATCAACAACTTCGGCTTCTCCTCGTGAATGGCCGTGACGGCACAGCGGGGCGCGGATGGGCGGGGAGTTGTGGCCGGCACTGGCCGGCTGGAGGCGCACCTCAGTGGGCCCTCGCTCCCGCAGTCTCGTCTCGGCGAGAGGCGGTGACCCGGCGAGGCTCAGGCAAGCAGCGGCACGGGGCCCTGCTGGTGGGGAAAATATCCGGGGCGCTGAGCTGGCCTTATTCGGCCTCATTCCTGAATGCTGCAGTCAACTAGGACTTGAGCGGGTGGCAGCCACCGAGAACTCAACGCAATCGACTTTGTGTCGCTGTCGCCGTCGTCAGCCAAGGGTCGACCCGGGCAGGGCTGCAGGACGCCGACTGCGTTTCTCCGCCCGAAATATGCGCGCTCGCCGGTTTTGGGGGAGTCCACAGATCGGGCCGGAAGGGGGGCACAACCGGCGCCATGCGGTAACGACCGAAAATTAAGCGACGGTTGCCGTTTTCGTGGTCCCCTGGCGTCTGTTCTGTATTCTCCCAATCCGCTGTGCATATCGATGTTGTTTCAGCGCTGTCAAAAACTGGGGGACCATTTCTGGCAGCGCCATGTGACAGGCCTTGCCGCGGTGAATGGCGTGTGGCCTTTTTGCTTGAAACTGGCGTCCGCGAGTGTGCTGCCCACTGTTTCGGCGACGAAGGTTGTAATTCGTGGCCTTGCTGTCGGATAAGGCCGTAGAGCTCGCCGGAGACCAGCCAAAAGCCTGGGCGCAAACGCCAGGGGCCCTTTTGCGCGCGACGCAGGGGTGGCTACGGGTTCGTTGGTGCCAGTGGGCGACGATGATGGTGAATTTGCAAATCCAGTTTTTGGAACTTCTCAATGGTTGTGGAGGTGGCCGCAGAACCAGGCGACGCTAAGGGCAATGCACTGCCACAGAGCCGCCAGAACAAAAAAAAGGTGCCGTGCGGCCACCGGGACCTCGCTGCGGATCAGGGCGCCGGTCGTTGCCCGCGGACTACACTTCCGCATTCTTGCCCATGGCTCAAATTCTTGATTATGGCTCGTGCATCTGTGGCTGCTAGATGCCGCGAGCAGTTCAGAGAACCCTCCCGTTGCGGCAGGGGCTGCTCCACAGATTGTTGGCACCCTTACATTTTTGTTATTGCTCCGCATGAAAAGGCCAAACGTTACGTTAGTATGTGGAAGGGTTTAAATAGAACTACGGTACCATCAATGACACTCATGGCAGCATCCAGCAGCTGGCATACAGCACCAGGCCCTACACAACACGGGGTTGAGGGCGAATGACGCCAAACAAGGGCCGATAGCATCCACTGCTGCCCCAAAATGCAATACCTAGCTGGGCATCACGCCACGTGAGGACGACATTCATTTTTATCAATTCCGAAATTACACCACATTTCAGTGTCCAGGAGCTACTCCACTCCTAACACAGGATACGTGAGCCTTGTTCAACCCAGTAAGGGAGTGCAAGGCGATGCAAAGCCCTCAAGGGTGCTCGCATATAAATTATTGCTCAATCCCGAAAAAGAGAAATTCGGCACTCCAAGGCGCCCTACCTGATCAGGTATCAGAGCAAAGATCATCGGTCTGTTAATAAACAGAAACGATGATAATCATGTGGTACCATTTGGCTCCAAAATTCAACATGTTTTGACAGCAATCGATCACAGGGCATGTTCCTGCGAATGAACAAGTGCAACACAAAGAGCAGGGCATTGCAGAAACGCAAAGATTGCCATGTTGCTACGTTCGCCAGCCCATGGAGCACCAGGTGGACAGGCGATCGTTGAGAAGGGTTGATAGCCCGGCAGGCAATCCGAATTCGCAGTGCTGCGAAAATCGGCTTGCATGTGCGGTCAAGCAAACGTGAGCGAGGGGGCTGAAGTGAAAGCTTTCAGCTCCGCCCCCTGGAGTCCAACACCACCTTGGCTGGGCGCAAAAGCTGCCCCAAAACGCATGGCATGCTCGCAACACGGGAAACATCCCCTGGCTGGCCACCAAAGTTGTCGGAATGCTGAAAAGCACGTCGATCACGAAACTTCGACTGATCGCGCGCTGCCGCAGTGCGGCGTGCCACACAGTGTGGCGTGGGAATGCGTTGTCAGAGCAGTTCCACCTTGAGGCGCTTGATTGTGACCACCGAATGCGACTGTTATGCCTTTGATCAGCGCCCCACAACCGAGGCAGATACGGGGCGTCGTCCACAGCCATGACGGGTGAAACTTCTCCAAGGGATTCAGGAGACTTCCAGGGAGATTGGGGCGATGCCCAGGATGTTCCGCCCCACTCATTAGCCTTGGTAAGTCTGAGTGTATCTTAACAAATGACCGTTTAACCGTAAATTGTCTAGCTCCGTATCCTCTCGTCCTACTACGGGGCTGCTACCTTCCTGCGTCCGATTCCCTTTCAATCATCCGCACGCTTCCCGTTCGCTTCTGTCTCGAGTAGCGTCCACTCACGTCCTAACGGTTTGCCAAATGCCCCGATCCGGGGGCGGGCCTCATGGTCCGCCCCCGCCCGGAACGGAGAGGGGCATATGCCTCGTGTTTCGATCGTCAACGGCCCTCTGGCATTCCTTAACGGTTGCGATTCCTGCTTTGGCGCTATACTTGAGCGCCTAGCCACGCATACCCTGATTTGCCATTTTCCTCCCGAGGGAGGCGAGAGGGCCGTTTCCAGGCATACCCCCAAGGACTGTGGCTGGGTGGGTCGCAAAATTCTCCCCGCTTCCTGCTAGCGCGGCTCGCTCTCCCCGCCGCCGTGCTTACCATCCTTTGCGCTTGCTTCCGCAGCAGGCTGGCGGCGACGGTCGCGCTAGGTTATGGCCCGCAGCGCTTGACGCGAGGAGCAATAGCTTCGGTCTCCGTGCTGTGCACTTTAACCCATCAGACGCGGTCCTGGCGCGTCCGCGCTCATTAACCTCCGTTAATCATGTTAAGAATGCCGCTCGGTGTGAGTGTATCTTAACAAATGACCGTTTAACCGTAAATTGTCTAGCTCCGTATCCTCTCGTCCTACTACGGGGCTGATACCTTCCTGCGTCCGATTCCCTTTCAGTCATCCGCACGCTTCCCGTTCGCTTCTGTCTCGAGTAGCGTCCACTCACGTCCTAACGGTTTGCCAAATGCCCCGATCCGGGGGCGGGCCTCATGGTCCGCCCCCGCCCGGAACGGAGAGGGGCATATGCCTCGTGTTTCGATCGTCAACGGCCCTCTGGCATTCCTTAACGGTTGCAATTCCTGCTTTAGCGCTATACTTGAGCGCCTAGCCACGCATACCCTGATTTGCCATTTTCCTCCCGAGGGAGGCGAGAGGGCCGTTTCCAGGCATACCCAACCGTTCGGCCCAATTGTGGGCTGCAAAGGCAAATGCCGTATGCGGACTGATTAAGAGTGTCCTACGGGTGTAGGAGGTGCAAGAGACCCGGGACGAAGTGCTCGGAGGGCCCGTCACGGCTGTCCGAGGGGAGGAATGGACGGTAATGGAGCTGAATAGGCAGTACCGAACAGCGCGAGAGGCGCATAGAGCGCGGGTGGAGCAAGTCGCGGAGAAGAGATTGCCTCAACGGAAACAACTGATCGAGCGAGAGTTCGTGAGTTGGTGGGCCCGGCAGCCGGCCGAGTGGCAAGTAGGCCCGCCCCAGCCGGAGGATGTCATCACCTTTCTGGAATGGTTCTCCCAGAAGCGGCAAGGGCGTGCACGAACCCACACCGAGAGTGGACAGAGGGTGTGGCATTTCAATACCATGGAAAAGGAAGTGAGCCACCTGAGTAGTTGGTTCCGCCGGAGCGGACGAGAGGGCGACTGGCGCAGCGAGGACGGGAGCGGGAATCCGTGTAAATCCGACTGTGTCCGAGCTTGGAAGAAAGCCTACCGGGCCGCGCAGCAGGTGCAAGGGGTAGGAGAAAGTAGTGCGGAGCCATTGCGTATAGAGTGGTATCGGCGGATGGTGAAAGCGTGCCAACAAGAGCTCACGAGGGAAGGCGACCCCGTGGTGAGGGGTCGTGTCATGCGTGACGCCGTGTTGCTGACCTTTTTGTGGGAAACCGGCCAGCGAGTGAAACCGCAGTTGGGGCCGTACACGCGGGACATGATAGTGGATGAATGGGGCCGCCCGATATGGGCGGCGAGGACGGGGACGCGCCCTGTGGAAGGGGCAGTGTTATTAGACGTATGGTCGCTGAAGAC